ATTTTAGAGGTATTTCAGTGGGGTTCTTTCCCCCTCCATGTGTGAAGAAAGAATGTATACCAATGTTACAATACCAGTACTTTCTGGAACACAGAGTATTTTTTCTATTCTCAAGACTTAATAATTTGATATCAGTTATGCTACAACAAGGTAAACACAGGATATAGTAGACGCAGGAGGTAAAGAATTTCCTTAATACAAGTAACTACTATAAAATGGTCACTGGGATAATCGATGCATTTTATGACTTTTCTGCTTACCTTTGTCAGATAGAAGATTTTACAAAATTTATTGCTGTAATTCTATCGGACATTTTTTCTTCTCATTCAGAAATAGTGGTAGTTAATCCTGAAAAATTATTGAGAAGTAAAATTTTCTGCGTATTTATCTCAAATTGGGCTTGGCTATCCAAATATTCTTGGACAGGCTGTTTTATTGTACTAGGATTATAATTCATTCCCTTCAGGTTTCTATGACAGCAGAAACCATGGATGTATTGTGTTTGTTTTACTTGCATTTTGGTCTCTCTGGTATTGATTGTGCTTAGTCTTACTTGCTAATGTGGAAAGCTAGATAATGCAGCATGTGACAAATATAAAAGAAGGTGGTATGTATGCATGAAAGTCATCTGTACGCGTAAGCTGTAGCAGCACATGCTTGCGTCTATGTTGCAACCAGCCAGCTTGATTTTTCCACGTACTGTTGTACACAAATGTACATCATGCATCATTCAATTTTTATTTCACTTAAAAATGTCAACATGTATTGTCTCCACTTATGTGAGATTCTGTTATAGTATTCAAAATCTGCAAAATTCTGGGTTTGTATTTAACAGAAAACCAAAGATAAGGACTTTCCAATGTTATGTTATGCTAGTCAGTTAAATGGGAACCTGTCAAGTTATTGGCATAGGGGCAAAAAACAGGTGGGATGTTATGCGGCTGACAGAAGTGTAAATCATAAATAATTCCATAAGCGACACTGGAATTAAATGCTTGGGAGAGTAGTATGTGTGGTATTTCTGCAAAATCAGTTTGTTCAGTTCAGACTAATAGTGTATGATGTATAGCAGGGGGGAAAAAGAAATTTCCGTTCTAACTGATCCAGAGGAGGGAGTGTCAGTGAACTGAATAAATGGCTTAGTTGGCACACCATATGGCATGAATTGTAACTACAGAAAGCATTTGCTCAGCTTTAGTAGATCTGTATTCATTTTGGGGGAGTTTGTTGGTGGAGGAATAATTAGTAAATGGACTTCGAAACGATGCAATTTTGAGTTACAACAATGAAATAATCTTATTTAGCATTGATTTATTGTTTTAAATGTTTGTGATACTGCTAACTACAGAAATTCTGAACTGCCGCAGCTGTGAGCGCCATCTTTTGGCAAAAGAACTTTTATAGCAATAAAATCTTTAAGGAAATGCTTAGTTTCTGGTTTGGGTAGTATTTATATATTAGAAGAACAGAAACTTCCCTAACAGAATTTCCCTATTCAGAGGAAGAAGCGGGATGTAAAGAGTTTTAACTTGTCTTGATTTAATAAAAAAATTTGCAGCCTTCATAAAATCCTTTACTATATTGAATTAAAAAAAATCTCAGTATTTCTTAGGAAAAGACTCTGGTTGCTCTTAAATTAATTACATTTAACTGTTTAAAAATAATTAGAATTAAAATAGTTTAATATTTTTAGTCTTGCAAATATTCTGATTTTAAGCATGTAACTGGTTTGAAATAGCAAGTGACTGATACGTTAAGTAAGGTTGGTTTAAATGTTATAACTTCATACTGCTACTCTTCCTGCACTGTTGTTATCTTATTACCCCAAGACTGGTCACTCTCAGTCAGGTTGTTCAACATCACTACAGCCAGTACAATTATACCTCCTAATCGAGGCAAACAGTGTAATTTTCCAGTTTTTAAAACTCCTTTGTGCAGTGCTTATAGTTGTCATAGATTTAAATAAATATTTAGGACATTATTTTATAAAGTCCTAAATATTTGTCAAGGTTTCAATGGCTGCCCTGATGGCAGGGAGTAAACACAGCATGACTAAAATTTGTAATGTTAAAAGCTAGCAAGAGCTTCCAGGGATTTCTGGACAGTAAATTGCAGTTTTGCCATTAAGTAAGGCTTTATTCTTTCACTTCTAGAGAGATTGGAGGCTGATTTGCATGTTATAAATCTATATATTTATTTATAGTTTTATTGATTAAATGAATTATTCTAAATTAGAAGCTAGCAAAGATGTGGTATTTAGTTTAGAAATCTCATTTACAACAAAACCTGTAATTGTATATTTATTTTTTTAATAAAAATATTTTAGCGGGGAAAAGTAGTTTTGTTTAGTTTTGTGTGTAACTGTTCCATGGACCACTTAGTTTTGTAGAGAATTAATAATCAATCTTAGACAAAGGAAGTCTAAATTTAGTAAGTAAGTTTTTGTAAAAAGCTAGTTGCCTTAAGATGAACTTGTATGAAAGGACTTTCAGTATGAGACTTTCAAGGGGAAAAGAAAAGATAACAATAATAAACAATTTTGGAAAAGTGTGAGGAAAAACTAAAGGTTGTATAGAGACTGGGGTTCTTGTGATTAGACTGTATTTCACTCTACATTCATTTTATTGTTTTGATCTGCAAGGAATCATTTAGTCCTTTAAGTATAAAAATTTTGTATTTTATAGTGTCTGCCTTTTGAGAGACCGAATTCCACATATGCCAAAATTTAGGCTTTCTATGTTTAGTCTTCTATTTTTTTCTAGCTTTTTTGGGAACAGCTCAGGGGGCAAGGAGCACTGTAACACTAAACATACACAAGTTTTCTGCAAGGTAACTTAGACTGATACGGGATGAGCAAGTGAGGAAGCAGCCGCCAGATTTCCATCCTTTTATTCCTTTCAAAATGCTAATATCCATGAATATACCTGGTATTGAACCTGCTGTGACCAGCTAAACTGTACAGAAGTATGAATATGTATAATTTTTTTCTTAACAGCTTTTCTTTTAGCTTTGAATTTGTGTTCAGCTAAAATTGCTACAGTGTAGACTTTCTTGTTTTAGAAGTTTCCGATTACTGTCACCATAGATTGGATTCACCATAGTTGCTGACTGGATTAGATTTGTCTTAGATTTGTGTTAGCCAAAAGAGTTTCTCAGTCATTTGCTCTAGCTATGGTATCTCAAACTACAAAGGTAAGATATCTCCTATCCTGTGGTAGGTTTTCAGCACTGGTTTTATCTTTCCCCTGCGTAGATTGTAGAAAACGGTTTTCCCTCCACCCCATCCTTGCTGTTACTCCTCAGACTACGTCTCTTCCAAGTGAAATGGAAGTGGGGGAGTATGCTTATCAGAACAGCTGGGTTGCACAGGTGACCTGAAGGTATTGGGCATTATTTCCCTTTTCATTTTCCCTTTCATTAGAAGGTCACTTCCAACTGAACCCTCTCAGACTCCTTGGATGCTGTGTGTTAAGGTCTCTGATCTGCCTTGTTTCAAAGCACTGATGCCCTGGCACGTTGTGAATGGGGATATGTGTTTCATCTGGCTAGATGGTACCCCAGTGGTCAGTTTTTAGGATCACAGCAAAATACAGAAACTTCTGGTGAACTGGAAGTTGCAAAGTACAGCATGGTGCTATCAAACACATTAAATACTAGTGAAACAGCTCCAGTTTCACTTAACTGCAATGAACTGCGTTCTGTTCACCTTCAGTTTGGCTATACATATCCATATATGAAGTCTGCTCATTAGAAATACCTGAATTATGCTGAACAAATTAGTTTCTGAAAGGAAGGAGCGATGGACTTCCTAACATGTAGAAGGCATTTTAGGATTTGTTTGTTTTGTTTGTTGGGTTTTTTTAAATCAGAATTAGTGACATTTTTCTTATGATTACTTTTTTTTGTTTTGTGGAATATTGTTCAGTTGTCTCTTAATACTGCCAAAGTAACTGAGACCAACCTCTTCCAAATAGCATTTCAGCAGTCTATTTGTGAGAATTAATCCTTATAGCCAATGCTCTACAACTTTTTCAAATTTTGGGCTGTTCATACCTTTAATCAGTGTAAGTATGTTTTTACATAAAACAGAGATTGAAGTAAATATCTTTTTATATTTTTAATTTTAATCTTTAGGTTGAAAATAAATTTGTCTTCCTTAATTGAGGAGTTTTATGATTTAAGACAAACTTAAGAAATATCTAACTTTTTAGTAGTCGTTCACTTGCTAAATCCCGTGCTGTTGATTTAGTGTGAAAATATTTGTGTTATTCAAAAACTATCCAGTATTTAATCTTAAAAACAGTGTGTTACGGCATAAACAATGACAGATATTCTACCCTTCTTCATCTCTTTCATCAGATTTAGACACATATTTCCTGTTTATGCCAATAATATTTGGATAAGGATATGAATACTATCCAGATATAATGCATGTATTGACTGTAAGAAGTGTCATAGGCAAACTTCACAGAATTGTTTATTTGCTTCTTGTTGCTGTTTTTCTTCCTTCACTGTATTTTTTTTTAGTGTTCAAAGCTTTTTTGAAAAAAAAGTCATGAATCAACCACTTCTGATATGTAGTTAGTTTAGTGTCTTTGTTATGCATTTTTTAATAAAACACTGATAGGTTAATATTTAAAATTGCCTGCTGATTTGTGGTATGAGTTGTATATTTCTGTAATCTTCCAATGTAGAAAATATTCACAGAGCTCCTATAACTTCTAGTCTGTTTACCTGTATCCTTATAAAATGTAGAAAAGAAAAGTGTCAAAAGCACTTTTGAAGTTGCTGTCATCCTATATGTAGCAGGATTCCAGTGCTTGTGCATGCTTCACTATAATAAAACTATGCTTGGAATTAAATTGCAATGCATTAATGGAAATACTGCATGTAAGAAAATGTCCATATAATTCTCATCAGCCTGTACCAAAAGCCAGCTAATGGTTTTTTTTACAAATATGCTACGTGAATGCCTGTCTTTTGTTTGTTTCTTTGGTCAGATTTCCACATAGAAGAGGCTGTGGAGTGGCCTGGGTTAGACCTCAAACTAGGTCAAGTTTCTGGGTTGGCTCTGGACCCTGAAAATAACCTAGTTATCTTCCACAGAGGTGATCATGTTTGGGATGAAAAGTAAGTAGATACTCTGCCAAATAGCATGTTAGAAGGTCAGATTGGTGGGTGCTATTTGTACATCTCTTCAGGAAAAGAAAAATTACAGTTCCTTTTCCATTTAAAATTCAGTTCTTAGGCTGAAAGTGCCTTTGCAAGACTCAGAATGGGAGTGGTGGCTGACCATTTCAAGATGATGGGGTTACTAGGCCTTTAGACAGTATGAATGTGTCTCTAGAGAAAAAGAACATAGTAGATTAGGTCCTTAAACTATATAACCATGTTGGTGTGATATTCAACTGAGATGAATTATTCCTGCCTCTCCATGTTTTTAGCAGGACTAATTAGCCTGGGAAAATGATGTTTTAATATGGTATATTACTATTAGGACCTGGATTTAAGACATGCAAAGCTAGCTGCAGTGTGTCTTCATTCTTTTTTTATGTCTACTGAATGTGTTATTAGTATTAGGCACTCCCTCAAAACGGGCTTTGTTCTACTCACTTGATAAAATACACTACATTTAGTGTCACTCAAAAAAAAGTTCAAACTTTATAATGGCCATTTTTCTAGTGTTTGTAAAGTAATATATTCAAAGGTATATTATTTTAAGAATGGAACATTACAAGTGAAGTATAACGTCTTTATTTGTTCAGTGTCCTTATGTCTTTGAGCTTTAAAATAGTACGTCTAACTGTTTAGATGGACACTTTGGAAAACATTCCATGAAATTGTAACAGAACAGCAGGCGAAAATAATATTAGCCTGTAACAGAATACTATGTAGTACTTTTTTTAAATGTCCTTTTAAAATCTTCTTTCTTAGTGTCTGTTCTCTTTCTATATATATAAGGCTAAACAGTAGGGGTTTTTTCAACTCCCGATTAATTCATTTTAAGATAACATAATTCCTGAAAATTAGAGGGGGCAGCTTTCTCAACCGTATAATAACAAATTATGCATAGAATACCATTTTAAGGTCATTGGATTTTTAGCTCAATAACATAATGCAGCAGATAAGACAGTCATTTATGTCTCATGCATTATATCAGTGATCTTTCCAGCTCAAGTTTATATAAATGTAGGCTATAAAATGTGAAAGGATGACGCATGCTCAACTTGTATTACTCAAGCATCAAGGAAAAGCTGATATTGATTTGGGTTTTTTTCCATCCTCCTACACGTGAACATAAGTGCCGTTCTTTGTGTCATTGAAGAACGAATTGAAAAAATTCTTGAAAATAGGCTGGCAGTTGTGTTCATTTCCTACTTCTGAACTGTGCATTTTTGAGTGTCTGGCAACTGCATTATTCACACAACCCAAAGCACAAAACTGGGAGTTTGAGACCAAGCAGTATTTGGAGATCCTGCAGATTTTAAACAAAACAAAAAAACATTAATGTTCCCTAAGTGAGCATAACGAATCAACCTTGTTGAGAGGCAGATTGAACTTCAACTTTCTTATGGTATGGGTGCAGAACAAGATCAGAGCTGTGGTCTGGAGTCTGGAAATCCAGAGACCTACCAGCTGTGCTGGGTAACACTACAGGTTCACTTCACTCAGCCCTGTCCTTGACAGTAGCCACTGTTCATATTCTGAGTATTTCTAACCTGTGATTATTGAACTTCCCAGAAGAATGCTTTATCTTATATTTATTTAGTATTAGTAGTGTTCATCTGTACATCAGTCCTTTGTGGGAGCTTGCCATATTTGCCATCATGTGGGCATTGAAGTTGGAAGTAAGTGAAACTGCCTGGTGGTGTAAATATGATCAGAAGCATTCAGTCCCAGATGTGTAACCAAGGTGTAAGATGAGCTGTTGTTACTGAATCTGGTTATGGGTCTTCCCATACTAACTACACATGAAATCCAAATTCATTTCAGAGGGGTTTTGTTCACAAGTGTTTGGTATTTTTTTTCTTCTTCTGGAGCACTGTTAGTCAATATATAGGGAAGCTAGTGTTGGTAGGAACCCTTAAATCAGATAGGCTGAAACTTCTATAGGCCTGTTTAAATAGAGTATTGTGACTTTAAAACAATATATTTGGAAAACCTGCCTGTGGTTAAGCTATTGTTCCATATCTTGTGGCACAGCGAAGGGGCACACAGAAGTGTGCTCAGTCAGTCAGCCTTCTCCTTTTATCGTTGGGTACACCGTGGGCACATGAAATAGTCCAGGAACCCTTTGATGGGTTTTGCTGAAAAGGGAGTATATGTGTTCTCATTTTTAAATAAAAAGGAATAAAAAAATGAGGGTTTGAAACTCATGACTATGGTATAGGGAGGCATAAGAAGTTATCAGACTTGTAAGTTAATGTTTATAATTAGCTGCAAATACACAGTTAATTGAGTATAATATTCCTTACCAAATCATAAACGTGATGAATCAGCCAAGCCTGAAAGCCCAGAATTTATTTTCTCTGTTTCAATGCTTCACCAGCATAGCATAGAAACAAATTAAACAAAATTATCTGTGCTGTTAGGCAGTGCATTATTAATATATGCCATAAAAGCTGGATCCTCATTCAACTAAATATAGCTGGATGAATGGTCTGTGCTGTTATATAGGGCAACTTCAGTCTGCTTTAGAACGCAAAAGCAGTTATAGAGTAACAAGCCCTGTTAAGTAGCAGCTTTTCAGTGGCTCTACCATTCCCTCTGTGCATAATTTAAAAAAAAAAAAAAAAGGGCAAAAAAACCCACAAAACAAAACCACACTCAAAGAAAATCCAAAAATACTTTTAAATAAGTCAGGTTCTTTTACCACATTGTCTCCTCAGTTTCAGAACAACTTTTGGAATATGCGCCATGTGCTATTCAGACTCAAAAAAACCCCAACATCTATTCATCTGGCTGAGCAATGAATCAGTTGGAGTTATTTTGCATTTTGTGATGAAAAAATTATACTATTTATGCAATTTATAAAAGACATAATAAAGAATATAAACTGCATTTTTGTTACTGCATTCTTAACAAGCTAGGCAGGTTAATTTAGGCTGAGCATAGTACCACAGTGGTGGTGGATATTGATCAAGACTAGAGCTCAGCGTTGTGCCTCCAGGGGTTATGAGATTGGGTGGTCTGTGTAAATTTAATACCTAGCCCACCAGAAAGACGTTGTAATAAATTGTTTGCGTTAGTGTGAAGTGACCATCTGAAAAGCAGAAACATAACTGTAGAATTACATTGGGGTTTGAAATTAGTAGTAGTGACATCATAGGCAACATATTTTAGTTGTTCTTTGATATCAAACTGCAGAACCTATGAGAAAATCATGCTGCAGAGCAATATGACATATAATAGTAAGGTGTTCAGTTACTTTATTTGTTTGGGTTTGGTCTTTCTTCTTTTAAGCTAGCAGTAGTCAGCATAATTTGTGTCCTTGTTTATCAGTTGAAACAAAGGAACATTGACTATCTGGGAAAGTGGTCTCAAACCCTGAGAAGGAAAGAGGGACTGTGATTCTGTGGCATGTCAGTCTTCCTCCTAGAAGAGGATGTTTGACAGGGAGAAGATGCATGGAAGATCATTCCCATAAACTCATTTCAAAGTTCACTAGGCTTCCTTTGTATGAAATGATATGCAATCTCTTATTTACACTGACAGCGTTCAGTTTCCAGAAGAGTTTTTAGCAGGGAATACTTAGAAGTCTGCACAGCACTGTTATTAAGAACCAAAGTCATCATAAGGAAAGCCAATCATTTTTTTAAAGTGGTCTAGCTAGTCAGTTCTTCAGCTGTGTGATCTTGTTTTCTGAGGGGTTTTTTGTGCAATACCTACCAACTCTAAGATTCTCTTCTGTGATTAGCTGTGCTGATTAATAATAACATTAGCTCAGTCTGTCCAATGTTGGTTCTCCAGTTGTCGTCATCCATACCCAGAGCAAGTCCTAATCAGTATTAGACTGCTTTTTAAATGATACTGTTTAAAACCAAAAGAACTTGTTACAGAAGATTACTGTCAGTAATGGTAAAGAATAAAACACCTGCCAAACCATGGTCAAACAAGCAGATCATGTCAAACAAGCCTACATTAGCAAGCCATTGTGTGCCAGTACCGTTTACCCTATGTCTCCCTATAGTATTATGGCAGAGAATTTAGGAGGGCTTAGTAGAGAGTTTTAGTAACTATCACCTTTTCCTTAACCATTCACAGTGAAAAGAATTTACTGATTTCTATCAGAAAATAAAATAAGTAGTCACAGATAGTTACCATACATAATGGGAATATCTACATACTTGTTGTAATCATAGCCTATGCAGAAACTTAAACACATCCTGTCATAAATTTTTCTGTTTGTATCTGAAGCCACTATTGCTTTTCCACATTGAAAATTCTAGACATACAAATATGTAATGTTATGGAGAGGTGAGGCTGCTAGGACTGTACAATATAAAGTTTTAATAGCTTTATTCATGGCCTTCTCTGTGACTACAAAGTATATTCATGTTTACCAAGTTGCATCAATCAAAGCTGGATTTCTCCTGGGATTAACAAATGGATTTAAAAATACAAGGTGGAGGGGGGAGTATGTCTTGTATTCACACGTTTTTCATCCACAGTTAAATACCATTTTCTAATATTTATACTTAAATTTTGTTCAAAATATTTTACACTCTATTTACCTTCACTAAATGCTGAATGTATATTTCAACAGGTTAGATTAATAGCCAACTTCTCTGTAGGGGTACAGACAACTGAGTTTTTTATTCTTTGTTAAGCATATGATAATTTTATGCCTAGTAAATGTCTTCTGGAAAGTTAATCCTGGTTCTTAATGTCTGAAATAGTGATGTGTTTAAATGTTGTTAATATATTCCACCTACCCTGAAAACTGAGTTGTGGGGGTAGGAGAAATACACATCATATCCTATAGTCTCCTGCAAGCACACTCTGAAAAGGCTAAGAACCTGAAGACCTGCATCTTACAGTAGTAAGCTCTAGCAAAATATTGAATTGTTTTTGAAAAGAGAAAAAACAAAAGAAACACAAACATGCACACACTGCCTTATACAGTGCGAAATATACCTGTTCATGCTGGCAATTATGCCCTGGTGATTAGCTATATTTTTACTTAGGCTACATTGTTTGATTTGCCACAGCAACGAAAAGAGAAAAAAAAAAAAGAGGGTTTTTGCTTGCTTACTTTAGCATTATCTTAATTGTTGTGTTTTGGTGCTCCAAATTTGGTGCAGGAAATGCAGACATCCAACACTGTAACTCTTCCAATCATACAATAATGGAATAATGCTTATTTAAAGAAAAGAAAGAAGCCAATAACCCTACACTGGAATTAACTTACAAGTCTCAGCTTTAAGTTGCATCTGTATTGTTTGTCAGTGGAACCTTCTAATGCTGGCTTTTTATTCCACTGTTTTTGTGTAGTTCTTTTGACAGCAAATTTGTCTATCAGCAAAGAGGACTTGGACCAATTGAACAGAACACAGTTCTTGTCCTGAATCCAAGCAATGCAAAACTGCTTCATTCCATGGGCAAAAGTCTGTAAGTTATTTTTACTTTTATCAATAGAGCTAACATTTTTGATTATTTTACTCCAGAAAGTCCCCAAGCCCATTTCACATATGTTTTATATTACATTGTGTGATTGTAGCCTACGAGTTTATTTAAATTATAAATTAAAATCACAAAATTAACAACTAATAAAAGTAATTTACCATCTTTACCACCTTTGCTTTCTAGCAGTTCATACAATTTCACCTACCAGCCAGATTAACAGAAATGCAGAGCTGGGTATTGTATATTGTCTTTAAAGATACCAAATATTAACCTTAGTGAGATACCAGAGATCAACTGAATTTCAGAGCTGAGACACTTGTCAAAAAAAATTCTGTTCTGTAAAGGTATCTTTTTCATTAAACACTGCAGGTATTTAGTATGTACAGCATTTGTTGATCTGTAGATAAAAAATGAAACCTTCATATGTACATCATTCTTCCTGAGAGATGTTTTTAACTTGATTCTTCTACATTTCTGCTTGCAGATTTTATTTACCACATGGTTTGAGTATAGATAAAAATGGTAACTACTGGGTCACTGATGTAGCTCTCCATCAGGTATGCTTTTGAAGCTTTAATGCTAGGACGTTAATATTTTGCCAAAAAATGTTTTTCTTTTCCTAGAGATTTGACATAAATTATTTATCTAGGCCTGTTAAGATAAACATTAAGAATATGCCTATAGAAATTGACCCCTATGGCCTTCATGGAATATAGTTGTGTAGAATAATTTGCTACATGGACATAGTATTCATAAATAAAAGTATCTGTTTTAAAACAACGATTCTTTTGAAAAAGAACAGACTTTTCTGCTACATCTTTGCTTATCAATTCTCCTATGTACTTAAACTCGGAACGTGAAACTAAGTTGTTTGCTATAATCACAGGAAATTTATATTTTATGCAGAAATTTCCTAGAATCAATGCTGTTGAAAAACTGGTAATAGATGTCGTAGTCAATATATTAAGGCTATGTTTGGTATATAAATTTTTTTTATGCACAGTAATAGATATTTTTCTATAGGTCGTCATCCCTCTTATATTTTACCTTGCATAACTGAAACCTATTCTCTTTTCCCATTGACTAAAAAACAGGTTTTCAAACTGGGAGCAGATAACAAAGAACCTTTACTGATCTTAGGAGTGGCTTTGCAACCAGGCAGTGACAAAAGTCACTTCTGTCAACCAACAGATGTGGCTGTGGATCCAGTCACTGGCAACATTTATGTCTCTGATGGCTACTGTAACAGTCGAATCATTCAGTTCTCTCCCAATGGATTGTATGTGATGCAGTGGGGAGAAGGCACAGGTTAGAGCTCTTGATACTTTATCCGTACTGCTGTTATCAGGAACTTGTCATGAACAATAAGATTGCTGATGTTACTATTACTTTTATTTATAAATTTCTATTACCAAAATACCTTCCAGGCCCTTGGTGAATTTCAGCCTTGTCATTGCATCCCAATTTTCTGTCTTCCATTCATACAGCTACTTGTAGTAGTTACATATTCACTAAAAATAAAAAAAAATGGGAATTTGTTAGCATGCTTTCAGTACAAGTACTGACATGTCCTATCTTACCAGGAAAATGTTCCGGCTTTTACAAATACCTTATTTTATTCTTAAACAGTTGACCAAATAGTATAAGCCTTTACCATTTTTACAGGATTTATGCCATGATCACATCTATTTTAAGTTTTGTGAGTAATTACATTTTTCCCTGACTCAGATTTCTGTATCAGGCATTAAACTATGCCAAATGTTATAGAGAAGTAGAAAATTCATAAATTCAGAGTTTACAAAGACAACACAAAAGACTAGCTCAGTTTACCTACCTATACGAGTAAAACCCCTAGAAGAATGCAAGCTGACTTTATTCTTTTCTGAAGATTATATTGCGGTATGTGACATATTGCTGTTTCTAACTAAAAGTGATTAGTTTCATTGTGTACTTAAACACAAACCTGGATATTTTGTATTGCAGAGACTTCTTTAGGCACAGCTAGACCTGGACATTTTCATATCCCTCACAGCTTAGCCCTGATCCCCGACTTCAGTCAACTATGTGTTGCAGACAGGGAGAATGGTCGAATTCAGTGCTTCAGGTTGGAGACTGGGGAGTTCACAAGAGAGATCAAGCACAAATCATTTGGAAGAGAGTTGTTTGCAGTTTCATATGTTCCAGGTAATCTTTTTTCCCTGTTACTCAAATTTCAAGTAGTTGCTTTATGTCAGGATGTCACAGTACCTGGTGTTACCTCATGAACAGTGCAATCTTATTATCTTAGACCAGATATTTATTCTCTTTCAAAGCAGAGCTGATGCAATGGAAAATTTTAGAACTATCCTGTTTTCCTATCTGTGGGATGAGGGAAGCTTGCATGTAACCTCTGCTTCTGAGAAATGACTGGTTAGAGTCCCTAAAATGTGATGGCAACTAGTAGATGATCTTGTTTGCTTCCTAGTGACTGCACACTTAATAATTAGCTAATAATAATGTTTTAAAATATTCATATCAAGCTTCACTGAAGAGTCCAAAATAAAGAGCTTCCAAACTATCAAGAAAAGTTTTGGGTTTCATAAAACAAAAAATCTGAAAGCAAACAGTTTGTAAAAGTTGTGGTTTTTAATATCACAATCTGGTTAATAATTACTGTAGTAAGTAAGTTTTTTAGTTAGATTTTTAATACAGATACTGAAGGTAATGTAAATGTCAAGTTGGACAAGGAATTTTAGCATGTCAGGCTCCTGACTCTGTAGTTGATATCAAATTTAATATCAGAGTTATCTCTCTTGCATCTGCCAGTAACATAGGAAGTGCACTACTGGATGAGATACTTCATACCTATAGGCCAGTGCTCTGTCTCTGACAGTGGCAGTGGCAGCAAGTGAGGCATTCTAAGGAGAATGTGTAAGCCTGGCTGCATTTTATGGTTCATTCCTATCGTACTCCCCATGCATCCACAAGCACTTTATTTAAGGGTTTTAGGAGATAGCTCCTGATCTTTTCTTCACAGTATCTCTCTATAGACCTGTTGCCCATGAGTTTTCCTAATCCCATTTTTAACTGGTTTGTACTGTCTCCCTTCTTGACCTCCTGCAGTTACAGTGTCCAGAAGTTCACTGCCCAGTTCATTCTTTTAATTTAAAAAAGTGTCCTAGTTTCATTGAATACTTCTCAATCCAACTGTTTTGGGAGTTGGTGAATAACAGTTCCACACTCCTCATATCTCCTGCCTCTTAGCCTTCTTCTCTCCAAATCAAAGAACCCCAACCACCTTAGTCTCTCCCCATAAGCCATTTAATTGCTCTAGCCCCTTGCTATTGTAGTTGCCTTTCTCTTCAAGCATCTTTAACTTCATTAGGACCTTCTTGAGATGCAGAGAGTAAAACAGCACTCAGTACTCAAGATGTGGGCATGCTAAGTTTTTGCATAGTGGGAGAACTGTCCCCTTCATTCCTAATTCTCTTCCTGATGATGCCCAACATTCTGTTGTAATTTTGGCTATCACTGTACATGGAGCCAAAGATTTCAGAGAACTTTCAGTGGTGGCTCAGAGATGGCTCCTGAGTTGTAGCTGCCGGTTCTAAGCCAACCATCACACAGGCATGATCCTAGATTATTTTTTTCACAGAACCATCACTCTATATTTGTCTTGGCTGAAGCTCTTCTGCCATCTGTTTGACAACTCATTCACTCTTATGAAAAGTTTTTCTGGACTTTTCAAAATTATTAAGATTTTGACTACTCCACAGAACTCAGTACCTTCCTCATACTGGGAGATGTCACTGTTCACCCCATTCTTCAGGTCACTGATGAAGACTGTTGAATGAAATTGTTTCTGGCTCTGATCTCTGCAGGATCACACTGCTCAGACTTCTCTATCCTGAAAAATTATAAGTTTTGCCCATAAGCTCTGCTCTTTGCTTCCTGTTCATTAATTTCATTCAGCCCTGTGACAACTCACATTCTTTAATAACGTCTCATGCACAACATTGTCAAAGGCTTTCTGAAAATCCAAGTATGTCTACAGAATCTCCTGTACCTGGGTGCTTTTTCCCCCCATTCAGAGATGAGCCACAATTTCCCCTTAGAGAAACCATACCAATTTGTTTCCCACAGGCCATGCTTAGCCATGTCTTATTCTTCATTATGGAGTCTACCATCTTATTGGGAATGGAAGCCAGAATTGTTGATGTGTAGTTCCCAGGCACCCTTTTGAACCCTTTTTATGGATGGACATTACTTTGGCAGCCTGCTAGTCTTCTGGAGGAGTGGCTATTTGCAGTGCTAGTTACTCAGCTTGGCATGAGGTCTGTAATTTCACATTTGAGTTCCTTGTGAATTTGAGTGAATGCCATCCAAGCCTGGAACTTGTCTAACACCTTTTGTGTATCTCCTTCCAGTTAGGCTGGCTCCTCTGACCTCTTTTCTATGGAAAAAAACTGTCAGAATCTCCCCAACATATTCAACAGAAGAAACTGACAAAAACTGAGCTTCTCTGCCACAGGCCCCTCATCCCTGAGTCCCCCTTTCACACCTTTTCCTCTTGTGGTCCCACTGATTCCCTAGCTGACTTTCTGCTTTTCATGCCTTTAAAGAGCTTTCCATTACCAGATCAAGCATCCTTAGCAAAGCATTCTTCAGATTATTTTTTTTAACCCTTTCACACTCTTTTTACATTTAACTAATCTGTAAAGTATTGCCTTGCTTGTTCTTCTCATTGAACAAAGTGTGCATCTCTCAAATGCCAGACTTTTACCTGTTGTACCTTACTTAACTTTCCTCCTGTGATTCAATTTCCTATTGAGTTACCTTTCTGTCTGTCTTTCTCTGACAGCCTTTTTTCATCTATACTATTACAAGTCTTCTTCACTGTAGTTTACTATGTGTGGGTTGTAAAAGCAAACCTAATGTTGTTGCAGGTGGTCTTCTCTTTGCGGTTAATGGAAAACCTTATCCTGGAGAGGCAGAACTGGTGCAAGGATTTGTGATGAACTTCTCTACTGGAGAAATAATTGATACTTTCATTCCGCTTAGAAAGGTAGAGTATTGCACAGAGCGCCTGGTGCATATAATTATATTTATGAGAATGTTGGTAACATCCTACTTCAACTTTCATAAGACTATTACAGGAAATAAGATGTTTTATAATGTAAGGTATTCAAAAGGAATTATTTATAATATTAACTTAATAAAGACACTAGAATTTCAGGTCTTAGTTTCTACATGTGGTACACATTCAAAAATTATACTACCCTCAAGATGATTCCTACAGATAATACCTTCAGTCAGGATAAGCCTACTTTATTGCTGTCAGACACTTTTTAAAAGCTAGTTTAGGAGAAGAATGAATGACTTGAAATATTCATATTCTTAGATGCTAGCAATATGTCAAAAAATAGAGTATATTCCTAAGCAGGAATAAAATTCAACTGTATGGTTACATCCCTTCTTTACAGAAGATTAGTAGGGAAGTTAAAGCTAAATGTTGTTCATACAGTATTGTACATAAAAATTACGTTTCTTTAAAAAAAAAAAGTTTCCATGTATTGTCTTAGACTAAAGAATGAGCGTTAAGATTCCCATTTCTGGGTAACACATGTACTCTTATTTGCAGTCTGGTTTTAAATTATATTAGAGTTACTTTTTTCTGGGCATAGCAAATAGCTGTGTTGCATACAAACTCTGACAAAAACTAAATATGTGAGCTTGAAACCAAGATCGTGATTTATTAAATACATATTTCACAGGATAAAATTGAATGCAAGAATATAAATACAAATATTATAAATATAAAAATTGTTTACCATGAATACATTTAATAATCTCCATGTTGTTATCCCTGGAGAAGGCAAACATACAATAGAAATGGAATTCCTCTCCCTTTGTTGATGTTAGGCCTTCACACCAGCACCTGCTGCATTTTCCAGCCTAAGGACTGAATATGACCAGTCTCAGGTTCAGGGTTAAGGAGGCCTGCTTGTCTTGTATGTGACTGCTTATCTTCACAGAGCTTTGAGATGCCACATGATGTTGTTGCTTCGGAAGATAAAACAGTATTTGTTGGAGATGTTCATGCCAGAGCAGTGTGGAAGTTTGCATCCATAGAAAGTATGTTCTTTTTGTTCTTAATGTCACAACTTCACATTTTCTATCTTCACATCAGTACCACTTAGGTGGTACCACTGGCAAAGAACCTGATGGCGTAATGACGAAGATTTAAGTACACTACAAAGCTCTGCCTGCAGAAGTTGTGTGCTACTGCTCAGTTTTCATTAAAAGACAATTCTTCAGCATTGCTGCATGCTCTGCCAAAGGAGAGTCCTGAGTGCATTAGTTCATTTGTTGCAGTATGAATCAAAATGCATTTGTCTCATGGTGGATCTAACTCTTGTCATGTCAGTACCTCCTTAAACAAAAGCATGACTCTTTAGCATCTTAGTAATTTTAATGTATCATTTGCTGAGAAGTCAACTGCTTCCTTTGAGGTTATCATGCAGGAAACTGTCAGGGGCCGAAGTGAAAATGCAAGTCAACTTAAAATTTATATTCATTTCTTTGGGAGTATTCACATTAGAAAATGAATCTAGTATAATTTGAAGTCCTATTTCCATGAAGTGGAAACACTTCTCAGCTTTAATCTAGTAACCCCCAAGCCAAGCAGCCTGACTTTAGGGAGAGGTACCTGATTAGTCAGACATCAATTTAGTAGGATTCAGAGAAAGATTAGATATTTTACAGGAATAAAGATATAATCCACTGTTACATTATATTAGATAAAATATGTATGAGAGAGATAAAGCCTCAGGCTTCAGGATATTAGTCAACCAGTAAGAGTCTGCTGTTATAAATGAACTTCTGACTAAGCCAGTTATTCCATATTTGTCTGTTTATATTTCATGGGTTTTCCTTTGGGGCATCTGCTATCAGCTGCTGTTAAGAACAGGAAACTGGACCAGATAAATTGTAACTCTGACTAGATAAGACTTTTTCTGCATGTAGTAACCTGAACAAGAACACCTTTAGGCTTTTATTCAAAGAAACACAAGAACAAAAAAATAATGGAATTGTTCATCACTTACAGGTTAGTTGAGGAAAGTCCTTGTATATAATTTTAATTTTAGCTTTTGCTGCAGTATAAAATTGCAGTAGTTAAGCAGCCCTGATTCAGCCAGCCTTTAATCCATCATGATTTTGATTATAATTAACAGTTTTATTTTTTTGGGAATCCCTGAACCTTTGCATGTGCCCAAAAAATCTCTCTGTGGTGTAAGAGTTAATTACTGCAAACACCTTTCATGAACCAAGTTCTTTTTTTTTTTTTTTTTTTTTTCCCCATGGCCTTGTGAGCTATCGAATGGTTTATATTGACTCTCCTTGGTGAAGTTCAGGTGCTGATGGTATTGTTTACTGTAGGATTGTACTGTACATTTGAGAAAGCTAGCAGGAAAATGTCACTGAGTGTCTTTCTGAAATGTCAGTTGTCCTGAAGAATAATTTTGTTTTACAGAAATGGAACATCGGTCAGTTAAAAAGGCTGGTATTGAGGTACAAGAAATAAAAGGTTAGTCTGATTTGTAATGGCAATGAAGGAACCAGTATGTTCACGTAGACTAGGACTGCTTACGCCAAGTCAGAAGGAAAAATGCTAACTAGTTTCACTGTTTTATTTTTCACCATCATTTCATATAGTGACTACATAGGAAGCACAAGAAAGCAGCTTGTAACAGTGTTACCTAGTAGATGCTATTTTACAGCCAATCTAAATATTTCATTTTCAGTGATCACAAGTGCTTCACAGACACTAAGATAAAAAATTAACTAGTGGATTAATTCCATACCACCATCTGTTATGGTCCATATTGCTATCTGTGTCAGCTCCCTTAGATGCAGAAATAGCTCTGAAATATAACTGTGATAGTTACTCCCCAGCACTCTCCAACCCCAGCTCTGCAACCTCAACCACTAAAACAAGGTTATTTGAAATGGCAGTTGCTTTATCTTTCTGCATAGTCTTTCAGTACACAGCCTTGTCAGTCACACCACATGGCAAAAAAATTATTTTTTTCTATTTAGATTTATTTCCCTAGATTTATGGCTTCTTTTTTTTTTTTAAATTTATCTGCATGGAAAAAAAAGGAAAATAAAAACATGTAGAAACCTAATATAAGGAGATAAAGAAATACATGTAGAGGAGATTGAAAGGGGTAAAATAGCAATTCAGGAAGATGAGAAGTAATTTTAACCATTAGTATTCTGTTATGTAGGTCTTTTATGTTGTAAAGAAAAAGTTCATTTCCCTTTCAGAAAAACAGTACCAGGCTATGGAGAGACCTTTATAAAATATTCGGATATTCTTAACTGTTTTTCTTTGGTTGAATTCAGAGCTTGTGTGGTTTGCTTTAGCCATGTATATGCAGACAGAGAGAAGTACCCTTAAGATCCCAACTGCCAATTGCAAGCACATAGAATAAAGTAGACTGACATTATAAAACAATGAAATCCTTATTGCCAGAACTGTTATCCTTCTATTTTATCTCTTTCTGAAGCACTCGAGAAGTGTTGGCATTACAGCATCTGCAGTACAACAAATCTAGGTTTGTATTGATGCATTTCAGCTTGCTATAGGAAGAGACTATGCTAGCTGACACTTCCAATGTTACAGAGAAAAATGCAATAGCATCACTGAAATTCCTTAGGGTACGTAGACTGAAATTAACATCTTTCAACTCCATTTGAAGAAAACAGATAGCCAGTGGACTTTGTGTCATCCTCTGCTTAATAAATGGACAGGAGTGGCCTGCACTTTCACAACCTCCTGGTGACAGACTGTTGCTGTTGCTTGCACTGCTGTGAAGTGGGGAAGAACATGCGGAGAACTCTACCTTTGCCCAGAGGTGGGCAAGATGGTGGAGGAAAATTGCTCTTGGTTATAACTACTGCTTGAACAGACAGCATGTTATCATTGTATCATTGTTACCTTTGTATCAGTGATAACAATGATACTGTTATCGTTGTATTAGTGTTAAGTGTACACCGAAGCATTTAGTATTCTTTCAGAATAGAACATCATTTTAAGTTTGATACAGAAACAAAATAGAGTTGATTCAGAGTGTGTTTCTGATGCAGCTGCTACTTAAAACATGCATTTAAGTCAGACTTTAAAATATAAAGCTAGACTATTTTACTCATTAAAAGTTAGCTCAAAGCATATGATCTTTTATACAGGCTCAAAACAACATAGAGGATTTTACTGAAATTGTTATTCTCCTTGTAGATGAAGAGGTAACAAATTAGTCAGGAATGATCAGATACAGTTTTCAAAAGCTCTCCAGATTTACAGAACCAAAGTTCTTTCACAGCATGTAGCAGTTCTGACAATTTGACCCTTTATCGCAAATTTATTAAAAAGAACTTTTAATGCTTTCCTTCTTGTTTATGATAATACAGCATATACTGGATTTCTGTATTTCTTGTGGAAGCGTTATTATTAAAAGGAAATATTTAATTGATATTACATCACACACCTATTTGGAAGAATAGATCTTTTGGTGATTTTCCTGTATTTTAAATGATAAATGCTTTTTAAGTCAAAACTCTCCCTGACACCTCTCCTTTCCCCTTTCAAGAAAAGGGGAGGGCATCTTTGCTAGTGAGTGATATCATTCTGACTCTGTCTGCTTAAGTTTGGGATAACATCAGCAAGAGCTAAAAATGTCTCTGTAAGTGTTTGGTTTTTGTTTCCTTGTTACTCAGCACTTCAGGTATTCTAGCTTGTTATTTTCTTTCATGCCTTGTTCTGTGTTGCTTGATGCGTATGGATTACACATTGAAACTGTCTTCTTTTTAAAGAATCAGAAACAATTGTACAAGCCAGATTGAAAAACAACCCAGAATCAACAGATCCTCTAAAGAAGCAGGAAAAACAACATTTGGTTGGACAGACCAGCACTGGAGTTTCCTTTGTTCTTATTACAACTCTTCTAATTATCCCTGTTGTTGTCCTGCTGGCAATTTTAGCATTTATTCGGTGGAGGAAGACAACTGTCTATGGAGGTAAGCATGAATAACTCTACAGAACAGGCTTTTATTGTTCCAATTCTGAACACTGAGGGACAAGGGTATGAAGAGGGAGGCTTCGTGTCCCTATACCCTTGTGAACGGTTACTGTGATGCTGCATGCAAACTAAGAATCGGAACGCACACAGCAACTACATCCCCCTATGCCTTTAATATTACATCTCAAGCCACCACCTTTTCAGAACATGTATCTAAAAACTTTAATTGGTGTCAAGCTGAAAATTGGTGTCTCAGAAACAACTAGCATATATTCATGTTATTGTATTTTAATACTCTGAGCATAGTTTCATTTTCACTTTGGGATCTTTAAATTGTTGAGAAAAAAGGACTCTATGGGTATTACAAAGGTATAAGCAAAATGCAAATATAACATTCACAAGAGATTATATATTATTATTCACTACTCCCTAGTGCATTTTGTGAGTCAGACATGCTTTCATAATGTACCTCCCATCCATTGCTGGATGGGAGCTTTAATTGGTACTTACAGTGCTGTGTAAATTGGTTCTTAATTCATATTATATAATAACATTATTTTTGAGAAACTGGTAGACTGCAGTAGGAGTTTGACACTTGTTATTTTCTATGGCATAAATCAAAATATTCTCATCAAGAGAAGAAAATATACATGGAATAGACAAATAAAACAGTTCTGCCACTGGCTAGGACATACTATTGACAGAATAGGTAATTCAGCTATCTAATATTGCTGTGCAACTGAATTGGATGTATTTTATTTGAAGATTTCAGTGTGCAGCTTCATGACTCTCTGTGTTCAACATGTTTAGCACATCAAATGTGCTAACGCTATAGACTACTGCAGTACTGCCTTTAATGGATATGATCCATAATAGCATCTTTGCATTCCATTTGGATTCAAGCAGTGCTTGAATTTTTGGTGTCAAAGAGCATGATACAGTTACATTGGTAAAAGTAAACTTGCACAGATTTATGGAGACTGAGTAGTATATAGGAAAAGACAGTTTGGTCATTGCATTTATTTTTTCTTCAGATGAGGATGGAAAGAGTTACCAGGGAGGAGGATATAGTTTGTGAGGGGGGAGACAAAATACATGAAGAAATTCACAGATCTTCCAGAAAGCCAGTCTTGTCTGAAGGGAAACTATACCATTTCAAATCTGAAGTTGTATTTTGCAGCGTGCTGGAGCATAGTTGTGCACATTATAAATTAAAAGGTTCTTGTCCTTCCTGTAAACTCTTCATAGTAACATAAGTGAACAGTTGAGGGAATTAAATTCTCAGAAATAACTTACATGCGAATCTTCTTAAAGGCTGAATTTGCATAAACTGAATATCTGTGGTATGATAATTTTGTTAGGAATTCTAATTTCACCTTAATCACAAAGCTGAAAAATATTGGTTTTGCTTCTCAGAGCTGCTGATCAATTTGTTGAATGTCTGTACTTTGTATCAGAAAATACAGATAATTATTTAATCATACAATATGATTTTTGGCTTATTTTTGAAATCTACCTTATTTTTCAGCTGATGGGGAACACAAACTTGATTCAAGTTCAGGCAGAATTTTAGGCAGACTTAGAGGTAAGTCTAAGAAGTCATTGAAGGTCCTTTAAGAACACAGTAACTGGAGAGTTTTTTCTGTATTCACTTGTAGTTGAATAACAGATTTGATGGAGCTTTCTCAGAGGAAGAATTGCAGGCAAACCTCAGGTGTTTTGTGGAAATGTCTTGTATGACACCTTTACTGCGTTATTATCTGCCTGCTGAAGAGGATGTGTCACTACCAGTAGGGGAGCAGTGGCTGTTATAATGTTATCTGTGGATCTGGTGAATGAAATGAAGCTTTGAAACTAAGGACAAACCAGTGGTAACAAAAATAGCCTGCATAAAGACTTAATGAAACAATGCTGAAAAAAATAGTTTTAAAATTCTACTTCAAAGATGAATTCCCTTCATCTTTCATAATCTCTATACTTAGCTTTTGTGGCTCATGTGCTGATCTTTAAAAACAGTTTTTGGAAGGAGACTCCATGCTATTGTTGAATGAGTAGATACATTTTTATTCCCCCATACAGTAAAGCAAACCTTATGACAAGCCTTTCCTTTCCACAGGGAAAGGCGGTGGTGGCCTTAACCTTGGGAACTTCTTTGCAAGTCGCAAAGGCTACAGCCGAAAAGGGTTTGACCGACTGAGCACTGAAGGAAGCGATCAAGAAAAAGATGAAGATGATGGCACAGATTCAGAGGAAGAGTGTTCAGCACCTCCACCCCTACCAGCACCTTCATCATCCTGAGACCAGTCTTTGAGTTCTCCATTATACAGTTCAACCCAGAATGTCAGATTCCTTTTCCCTTAAGCACGTTTAAGATTTTGTGTATTTAATTGTGAACTGTACTAGTCTGTGTGGGGCTGTACACTGGTTCCTTTAATTTTTGTTTGGTTTTAGTTCTGTTTTTTAAGTGGAGTGTATGGAAGTTCCATATCAGTGCTGTTGTTTTTTATGTGAACATCTTAATAAAGCAAATAGTCTTCTAATTGCAGCACTGATTTAAAGCAGTAGTATTTTCTTATGTCAATTTGGGGATCTTGTAAATAAGTCTTACTATCTGCTTCATCAAAATATTTTTCTCATTACTATTCAGTTGCCAGTTTCTGTTTTGTGCCTTTCCTCTTCAATGTCCTTAACCTGTTGCAGTATAGAGAAAATACAGTGCCAGAAGAAAATGAAGCTGCTAAATCTTCTTCTATTTTTTTAAAATCACTAACATTATATTGCATTGAAGGAAAGAAAAAAGTCTATTTAATTTTTTTCTTCTTCTTCCTAACTTGATGTGTTTCTGGGATGTCTTATTTTTAGATGGTATCACTGTTAGAACACTATTTTCAGAAGCTGAATGTAATTTGTGTAATAAAGTATTCGCAGAGCATTGGCTGTCAGAGTGTACTTTGGAATTTTTTGCATACTTTTAAGTTTTTTGTATACAACTGTTGTAAAAGTTACACAGACCACTTTTAATACAGTAAAAATTTTAATGTCTCCTGCCAGCAGAGAAAAAGTGCTATTTTTTATGGGAGCTGGAAAAATATTTTGCTATGTCACAAGGTTTTTTTTTTTAAAGACTAATAATATCCATACATGTACAAAGCCAGGCTTAAACATTTAAAGAGGAATATTACTTGTATAATAAAACGTCAGGGTATACACTTTAATAAAATGTGGTCACAGCTAAGAGGAAACCTGTGTCTCAAATTAAATATGCAAATTAGTCAGGGTAAGCATCTAATACTACCTGATTTGTAGTACTGATTTTCTTGTTTCTCCACACTTCCTTTTTCATTCATACAGCAGGAGTCCTCAATCCTGTAATGTGCTCACTTACTGCAGACCTGCTAGATAATTATACTGGCTGTATGAGTCATCTGAAGTGTGAATAATTGTGTGATGTCACGATGATTTAACAGTCTAGTTTGAGGATCAGAGCATGACTAATCTCCTTTTAAAACATGTATTGTAAGCAGAGTGTACACACTTGTAATTGCTGCAGGTTTTTATGAAACAGCTTTCATTATCGTCATTGCAGGTGTTGTAATAGGCTATTGCTGGTGTTGAGTGTGAAAAAAAGGCTATAGGTTTGTAATGTCAGGTTTTGCAAGGTGTTTTTTGAGGGAATAAGAGTAATGATAGTGGAGCAAAAGATAAGATTTCCTCACCCAGCAAGATTTTATAAATATCCTTGTCCTGGAACAAAAACTTAAGATCCTTGACAGGTTGTTTTTTCTTAAGTGTAGCAAAATCTCCAGGGTAGCTTTCTAAAATACTGGAGTACAGGTTCAGTTTCATGTGGTACGTATTTAGTGTGTACTCAACTTCCTTTCTTGCTAATTTTTATTTTCCTAATTTTACAAGGAAAATTACCTGTTTCTGTCTCGCTTTTGAAAGCAAGACAGTGTTATTTTTAGCTGTGGCCTTGATGCCCTTGTATATGAATAAAAACAAAGAACGTAGTTGGGAAGGATCTTCTAAAGCTGTCTGCAAAGATAAGAAGTCACTAATTTACAGGAAGTTTCCCATGAGAGCAACAAGAGAACTGTGATGGCACTGGTATCATAGGTAGTATATATGGCATCTGTTCTACAAGGTGACAGGCTTTTCTGAAAAGTCATCAGTAAGGTTACATTTTTCTAACATTTGGATAGCTCACATTATGTGCATCTGATGTTGGGTGTTCTCTGCTTCCACAGTATTAGGTCAATGAAGATAATATGCAGCTGCCTCCTTCTTCCTTTTCTTTAGTTGATACTTACCTCCAATTAAAAACTGCTTTGTTGAGGGGGGAGTAGCTGAACGCAGTTTAATGACACATACAAGCTAAGACAGATTAATTCAGTGTTAGTTATAATCTCTGCTCTCTGGAATTCAGAGGTTGGTCTCTACAATAATCTTGGGCTGCATAAAGAGAAGCATGAACAGCAAGTTGAGGGAGGTGATTCTCCCCTTCTACTCCACTCTCATGAGACCCCACTGGAGTACTGTGTCCAGGTCTGGGGTCTCCAGCAAAAGAAAGACATGGACCTGTTTGAGCAGGTCCAGAGGAGGGCCATGAGAATGATCAGAGCAGCTTTCCTGTGAAGAAAGGTTGACATAGTTGAAGTTGTTCAGCCTGGAGAAGAGAAGGCTCCAGGGAGACCTTGTTTCAGCCTTTCAGTACTTAAAGTGGGCTTGTAAGAAAGACAGAGACTTTTTACCAAGGTCTGTAGGGACAGGATGAGGGGTAATGGTTTTAAATTAAAAGAGGGTAGATTTATATTGGATATTAACAAAGAAGTTCTTTACAATGAGGGTGGTGAGACATTGGAACAGGTTGCCCAGAGAAGTTGTGGATGTCCTATTCCTGGAGATGTTCAAGGCCAGGTTGGATGAGGCTTTGGGCAACCTAGTCTAGTGGATGGTGTCCCTGCCCCTGGCAAGGGGGTTGGACTAGATGATCAAGGTCTGTTCCAACCCAAACCATTCTGTGATTGACAGGCAACCAGCTACTTTTGAGTAGCAAGCAAACTTTAGCACCTCAAGTTGCATGCTTTAATTTCACACAGGTACAATGGCAGAAAATCTGAACCTCACGGAAGGCACTGAATGTTCTTTATCTCTTATTAAAGCTGTACCTTATGAAAACAATATACCAGGGACTTCATACTGCAATAGAAAATACATGTAAAAAGGAAGACACAAGTTTTATGTAATCATAGCTCAAGTTTTAATAAGCAGACCATCCTTTATGCTAGCAGTTTCTATTTGCTAATATTGATATTTATGTATTAAATGTTGACTACTGGTTATTCAATCTCAACTAGTGGATTTGGAATGCATGTATTTCATTTAGTTTCAGCAATTGTCCCAGTTAAGACTATGTTTTTTAATGAACAACATGGATTTGCACATTTTAAGACTTCCAAGACAGGACACTAACTTTCATGAATTGACAATCTTTTCTTAAGCCTTTTTAAGGTGCAAGAATCTCAGCTATTGTAGGGGCTGAATATTGTCATTAAAATGAGGCTGATGAAGTAGCTAAGCATCTTTCCCTGTGGTAGTACGGTATCAAGCATCTCCCTATTTTGAATAGTCTAACATACTGGAAGTCCTGCAGAGTGATGGAAGGTGGCTGCCTATGCACTGGTAAGCAGAGTCGGGTGATTCTCAGTAGCTCACTGTGAACCAACCAGCTCTAAGTGAGGGGAGGCTGCGGCAACAGCATGCTGCCGTGAGGAAGATGCACTGAACTGTAACATGCAGGTTGTCACCCAGGTCACCTGAAGGTGTCCTGATTAAATGAAATTACCATCCCAATTAAGCAGCTGTCCTTGCCACAAGTATTATTAGGTGTAAATTGATTCCTTGGGAAGCATCTTGATTAAGTAGAGTTTTCTAATTAAGCAGTGCACTGCAGTAGTTGATGAGGATTTATAGATCAATGCAGGAAATTGCAACAGCTTCTTGCTTGCCAAAGCTAGATTTATTTATGTTTTATCAGAACTTTTAGGTCAGCAATGTCTGTCATGCAACAGAGGATTAGGATTAAGTGTGGGTCATGGTACAGAGAAGGGACTTTGTTGATTTCTATCTTGCCATTCAAACATACATGTGGGAACTTGTTTGAAAGGCTATGTATGTATTAGCAATACAAGTTGTGTGGAGCAGAATACTGCTGAGCAATTCAAAAGCAACTTATTTAATTGCACATTGGACATACTTTTCAATTTGAAAGACTGTGTTATGATATATTGCACAGTTTGTATGGGTTCATGTAATGTAGTAATAAAATTTAAAAAAACCAGCAGAACCCAATGTCAATTAAAATTAAGACCTGAAATTAGGCCACTGTATTTTCTATGTAAAATAGATGCTACTGAACCCTAGTTTTAGCACCCTGATTTACCTGTTTGGGTTTTTTAATTCTTAAATGTGAAAATATTTTCTCTCCATTGTGAATTATCAAAATTTGTTAGCAAAATTTACACTATAACTGCTCTTCAAGCTCCTCTCCAATACCTGTGAAAAATTTAGATTCATTTGTGTAGCTAAACATTACTGGCAGAAGAAAAGGGAACTAACAGTGCAGAGGAGGATTTTAAATCTCCAGGGGCAGCTACTTATCCAAGCCAACCCTGCGACCTTCTTGCTGTTTCTGGATATGGTGGTTGGAAAACCTAAAGGAGCATTCACCTGGCTTTGTTACACACTTATTTGGAGACATAAAAGGGACAGCTGTGTGGCAGTCAACTTGGAAGCTGCACTAGAATTTTCTAAATACTACAGTTCATGAAGGCATGTTTGCTGAACTGCTCCTTTCTTTAGCTCCTTTCCACTACTGTTTCTTATTGATTAGTCGCAAGTGAAGTGGTGTCTGATTTCATTGTACAACTTTTTAAAAAATACATAGATGGTGTAAAGGCAAAAGTACCAATTTTAAAAATGCAGTGGAGCAATTTCTTCCTAGCAAATAGTCAGTGGTAACAGTTCAGCAAACTAGGGAAATTATTATTAATTACCAACTACATTTATTTTTCAGACTGAAACACATGAGAAACCTAAATCTTCTCTCATTTTTTAATTAGAATTTCAGAATTTTGTCAGAATGGGGATAAGGCAACCACATACCCAGACATAAAAGGCTAAAGTTGGTGCTACTTATCATGTAGGTTTCAAGAGCAGAACCCTGCCCTGGCCGCTGCATTCCTCAATGCTTTGATGCCCTCCCCCCATGTTTGTTACTGCTTTCTTCAGCCATGGTGTTGTCCGAAAAGTGGGATTGTTTACCCGGTGTGCAGTACAGCAATATACACAGGTATATTATTTATTTCATGTCTGCGCAGAGATGGGTGCTAGGTGGTAATTCCACAAAGCTAGCACATTACACACAGAATCTAGCACATACTTATCTTGTTACAGGATTAGAAAAACCCAGCTAAATTTATGTTAATTGTTTATTAATTACTGCATCATCTATTATTGGTCAAGCACATTTAAATTAGTATGCATGCTCCTTGGGGGGGCGGGGCGTAGGTAATTTGCATAGTCCTTTAATCGGGTAGGTGGTTGTGAACTCCCCCACCCACCTGTACCTTTCCCCAGTTACTGCTGATTCTTGTTGACTTCGGGCCTCTGGCAATCACCAGCTCTGCCCAGCTCTGGGCGCCTTCTGGGGCAGGATGTTCCCTTTTTATCAGTTTTTCAGCTGCTCTTCAAGGATACTCTCTAGCAAAGCATGCTTTTTATCAGTCCTTTGGCTCTTCTTCAAAGGTATAGTGGTTAGCAAAGCAAGGTTTAACCCTAACGGGTTAAAGGGTTAACCCTAAATTAAACAGTGTCTAAGCACTAACCCAAACATTTTTCTGTCCCTGTAAAGTGAAAAAATCTACTTCATAG